TACATATGTAGGTGTGTTAACTAGAATTGTTGATGTTACTGATTTGTTGAAATATAATCGTATTAAGTTACGAAATCTGGAAAACTATTTGACAGTTGACAAAGCACTTTCTTATGAAGATAGTTTATGAGTAGATTATGAGTCCAGTACCTACCTAAGCCAAAGTTTTGGGACAGTGCTGGATTTAGAAGGACTAAGGGTTCTCACAAGTTTGTAGATTTTTGAATCAAGGCCTGAAATTTAGACGGATGGCAAGTAAGTAGTTTATGGGAAGGATTAAGGAGGTCTAAAGACTTTTTGATGCGTACGATGCGAAGTGGCATACAATGCCTATGTCAAGCAGTGGAATACGATAGGCTGATGATGATGATGAAAGACTTTTAGGTTAACTACAGTCTACAGCTATGTTGTTTTAGACATATACACGGTTAACAGTAAATGTTCTAAATATAGGTAGACACTTTCTGTGCTTCATGAACTTGTTTTTTTGCTGTTTTCCAGTATCTCAAGCTTAAAAAGTTTTAAATTGATTCCATCTTTTCATGACTTTTGATACTGAAAGTGAATTTTAATATACGAATAGCTAATAGAATATTACAAAATGTTATTTCTGTATGAATTTATTAAATATTCTATGCGTACAAAGTCTCGGTTAACAGCTAGGTAGCATTAAACGGGAAACCTATAGAACCTATAGAGTCCATGTTAATTTTTACAAAATCTGCAATATTCTGTTGCTCTTTTCGATGAAATCGATTTTTTGTTTTTACCACTGACATCATACAACAATTTAATTGATAGTGAATTCAAATTGAAATTTCTTTCCAAACAACGTAAGTTCTGAACATTTGAAATAGATAATAAAATATTACCTTCCCAGGCAACCAGTTCGGGGGCGGATTACGGGGGCAATATTAAACTGTTCTCCGGAACGTAATCGGTTACAATCAATAGAACACTTACAAGTTCCTCTTTCGTACGCACAAACATACTAACATTTAAGTGGCTTTTCTCCGGTAATATCATGCTAGAAGATCTAAGATACGTTTGACTATGGTCATGACATAACATATGCCTAAGTTTTTTTGGGTTTATCGAACATCAATATTCTATCAAATGGCATGTTGACTGTTGTCAACCAGCATCCCTCGCTGCCTGTACAAATAGCGGACAACAAAAATGGCTACCCTACTAATTTATTTGTTTTTAATTTTTAAAAACAGAACGAGGAAGTGGACCAATGAGACGCGTCCTCCGACTGATTGTCAATTAGTGACATCAAACGGGCTTTTTGCGAATTAAGCGCTCGTTTGTGTTCATTTTTTGTCCGGCTGTCGTCGCGTGCTAACGTTTGATGCGTTTTTCGTTTATACGTTTCATTTTCATATTTCCGTTTGTCTGGCCGTATGGGGCTGCATGAGTTACAATATACCTATATCTACTGTATACACATTGATATGTATGTTTTCATTTATTTCAGTGATATTTTAATTCGACTGAGTGCTCTCACTGGCGAGTCAACTTTTTTACGCCTTTCTTTGCTGATTGTTCTGTTTTCAAAGAGACACAGATTTAGATTGGTAGTTACGGTATGGTTGTATGAATTGAATAGTTAGTCAATATATATTTGAATATTATGGAAACTTCATCAGTTATTTGTATTGACTATTAAAACTAGTATTTTTTAGATTGATAGAAAGTTATGTTATTAGGTACATTTTCAATATTTTAAATCACCCTACTTGATTGAGCAGACGGGTCATCTGATGGCAAGTGACTACCGCCGCCCATGGTCACTTACAACTCAAGAGTCACAGATTTGGAAGTAAGTATACTACGAGTATGAGAGCACTATGGAGTTGATATCTAGTACCTACTCTTTCAAAAATTAAGAAGATTAAATCTGTTCTATGGTATACAGATACACAGACTCAAACAAAACAGTCTGGCATTCTAAAGACAAACCATTAAAAAAAAGTTGATGAATCGAATGCGCCGTATCGAACGCTATTCGAAATACAGCCGACATAGTCAACAAAGGGACGTTCTGAAAAAAACGCGCGAATACGAACGCGCCCCGCCATTAGCCGCTCCCATTCGCACCGCTATAGACAGGCCTCTTCAATCTAACCGTCAACCATTGTAGGGTTGATGCTGATCTTTTCTAAATAGAAATGTATCCTAAATACATTTCTATTCAGAAAAGTGTTTTCGTTAATTAATATTAAAAACTTATGTTTTGCAGTAGATTTTAATTCAGAAAGAGATTTATTGTCCCAATAGCTAATGTCACTTACATTTGCGAATGAGTATACTGCCGCTCTATGTTACTTTTTTTTTTAAGTTATGTATGATAAAAAATTATTTCCTGCCTATATTTATAAAAGAAAAAAATACCCTAATAAAATTTTCTAATTTTAAATGTCAAAAGACAGCACATACTATTTAATATTGTCAGTAATCTTGCTGTCCTTTAAAAAGCTTTTCGTTAAAAATGATTTCCGTATTATTTTGGCAACCCTACACAGAGGGCATATGATCGAGTGTTGTTGGAGTTTTTATCGCTGATTCATTAGTAAGAGAGTGTCTTTGTTGCTGACGGTACGGCTAGTGCCCGGCACAATATGCATTCAACATGAAAATTGATTCGGGTTGAAAGGATACAAACTGTATTTGTATACTTTGATGATTGGAAATGAATACGCGTTATGGGAACGTGCTAATTAGGGGTTGGTGGTGCTGTAATACATTTAAATGAAGCTGAACATGCTTAGTGCAAAGATATGTATAGATGCTTTCTTGACTAGTTTCTAATCTTTCTTTGGTAGGTATTTTCCCTATTTTTTTCAAGGCCTTAAGGCTACATGGGTGTCGTAAGAGCCGACCACGAGAGCGAACTGCAAAGAGAAGAAAAACTTGTAACAAACCCTATACCAAACCAAATATAGTAGGCTAAAACCTCCTTTCTAAGGAGAGACCTATGTCCAGTTTGTTGTTGATGATGATGATGATGATGATGATGAAGATAACATGTTTTCAGAAACACGTACGTCATTCCTTATTGAATTGAAACAAACAACTATACCTACCTACCTATATAAAACATAATAGTCTGTACAAGATAGAGAAATAGAGATAAACTAAGACAAAACACATTACATTGTATTAACTACAAAGATTTTGTTTTCCATTTTAACAGACACTAAAAATACATTAAAACAAATAAAACAATATGATCTGCGAACACCGCCTCAATGAGAAACTTTTCAAAAGAGTCACGGACCCGTAACGAACCTAATTTGGAAAAAGGGTAAACAAAAATTCAACCAAGTTTGAGGAGGGAATTACAATGAAAGGGGCCTTGATGTTTGCCTACTTTTCGAGGTTCCATCAACTTAAAAAAAAAAACATTTGTGTATAAATTATTACCTTTTACTTATGTTCATGAGGAAAACCAAATTTGTAAACTTACGCACTTAAATCTCATAGTATATGTTAATTCAAACAATATGTATAGAAAAAGAGAACAATAAAACACAGACGTACAAGAAATCCAACTATTCTGACGAAGTTAATTAGGAAACAGTACAAAAGACTTACAAGAACAAAAGATAGGCATCCAGCAAGCAGAAACGTCGAAGCATCACTCATAAATTAAGTTTAACTACATCATGAGACAAAACGTCTTCAGTCGAAATAAATTCCGCATCCCCATAACAATTATCAATAGCATTGTACAAAATTTATGTTATGAAGTACAGTTGGATTCTTGTAAGCAACGTCTTATACGATATAGTGAAACTGTCAACGCCATAAATGTATATGAAATGGAACAATAAGCAGCACTTTACGGGCTAAACTTAAAGATCCTAAACAGGAATAAGCCTCCATTCCTGAGCCCTTTTCAATTCGTGACCTGGCATGCAAAACAGATGTCTGGAGTTAGATAAAAGCTTTTGAAAACAAAGTATTACCACTCATTCCAAAGTGGAGGGAAGGTCAAACCGATTGTGAACTTCTATTTTAGTACTTGCCTATAATGTTGGCGGTGTATTAATATTAGTGATTGTGTGATTGGACTCTCATTACGGATTTGATTTAATATTTAGTAGTACTGATAGATATGGTGCGGTTTTGGGCATTAGTTTTAGTAACTTTTTTACATTTAATAAATTTGGGATCATTGTAATTACTCGCGTTTTGGATTGTGAACCAGATTTAATTATATTTGTTAGAGTGCCACCTAAAACGTGATGGTTCCTGTATCTTAATAACGATAAAATTTGATACCATACTCAATCATTAGATAGATAACCTCAGGTATTGACAAAATATCCGTCCATGTGGTGATATGGTCCGTGTGGTGACGAATTAAGAATACATAGTGTCACCACGCCTACTCATCCCGTAGGTGTCGTAAGAGCCGACTAAGGGAAAAAACTACGCAGAACACCCGCACTGCAGAGAGAAGGAAAACTTGACACAAACCCTACACCAACCCGTCTGGCCAGCGTGGTCGTCTGGCCACAACCTCCTTTCTAAGGAGAGGCTTATGTCTAGTAGTGGACTATTAAAGGCTGTTGATTTGACGTGATTGATAAAATACATACTAGACTAAAACCATGTTTACTAACGACAGTTTTCGTTCCGAACTGAGTTCTATTAACGAACACGTTAAATGACTTTTAAATAAAAATGCCTTTGGTTCGGAAAGAAGATGCTGAAATAATTCTCAGCCCATTTATCTCGGTCGATGCTAATCCAACTAACTTCATTACAACAAGTTGGCACTCCGAACGAGGTCATCTATGTACAGTATTTTTAATACAAAATATGAAATATAATAGCATGGAAGCCGTAACAAATTTGGTATCACTCATTTTTTAGAGATCAAAAGCGTCGGATGGGCGATCAATTTTTAAAACCATCAAATATTTTAGTGGCGATTGTTGATGGAGAAATTTTGTTTTAAGTGTGTGTTAAAGTAGTTTTTTTTTAAATCATAACGTTGTAAGCGAATGTGGATTCTGGAAAGAAAGTATTAATAATATATAATAGTACACTAGGACCACGCAAAAAGAATTCCAAGTGTTTAAAAGCTTGTCAACTTGAGAACTGTATATAATTAGTACCAAATATTTATTTATTTTAAATAAAATTATTCTATAAATAACTAGTTGATCTAATTGAAAAAACTTAGAATTCGTAAATAAGTTTAACAACGTAATTAGTCAGTTAAACGTTGAATGCCAACCTACCTTTGCGTGTTCCTGCTGCGCTAGGAGCTGTTCTCTCACCATTTGCAATTGTAGAATCATTTCGGATAGCTGCCTCTCTTTCTCAAGCACGCTCTCTCCTGCTAGGGCCTGCAGCGCAGCCGCGTCGAGCACTCCTCGTCGATCACTGTGGGCAAAGACATAATTCATTAAATATAACTGCCAATTAGACATTACACTCTCATAATATATCATGAGACTATATATACTTTCAGATTGATTGTTCTTGGAGACATGATACGTTTTGGGCATCAAGAAAACAGTCATTGACCACCGCTTGGATTTTTACCTTAAGTCGGTCCATGCTGAGAAGTCCCTTCTAGTCTGGTTTATGTTGTTTCGGTAAACTTTGATCTGGAGTCTGTTTACAGACTTTCAAATAAACTATGGGTGCTTGAGGAGAAGGCGTTCCTTGAGCATGATATAATATCGGCATGGTAAAGTAAGGCAATATTTTATCTCCACTATATGTACGGCTTATTTGTAAGTTTCCGATATTAGAATAGCCATTAGTGGCTCATATATTCCTACATCTAGTTTATATCATTATTATAATTTTAGATGTATGTATTAATCAAGTTGTTTTGTAGAACCCTTTAACTACAAACCAATTTCAATATTTTTTATAAATTAAAATCAATATTATTCGTAAACGAATGTTACATTTCTCAGTCTTGACTCGAGGTAGATGATAAAATCAACTAAATCTCAAATATTACATTTTATTGACCATATATCCTAGTAATAAACTTATTCCGCGTATAACGAATAGTTTCTGGAATACAAAATTGTGCGCCTTGTGTAACATAGCATCAGGTGAAGTGTAAAGATGGAATGGAATGGAGCCGCGTGAATAATTCATGACGGCACTCTTACCGGATGGCAGAAGCAAGATATTAACTAAGAACTATGACGCTATATAGCCACGTCCTCAGTGATTACTGTGGAAATTCATTATATAAGTGATACAGTTGGAAATTATCCAAATTCATTTGAAAATACACGTGTAAAAATTTAGTTATTACGCGTAAGAACCATCATGAGAACATTTGACACATATATTTAAATTACGAGGTCATTTTAAATTTGTAATTTTTAATATTATTGTGTGGTTTATGTGTTAAATAAATTGATTGTCATTCGAACAAAATAAGTAAGTAAGTTGTTACGTTTAGAGAATTTAATAAAGACTTACAATATGGCAGTTGATCCTACAAAATATTTTATTTATTTGTGTGCACATATAAACATTTCATGAAGTCTAACAAACCAGACAAAAAAGACTATTCTTAAGTCGAGGGTTCAATGCCCATCCAGGTAAAATATTCTTAAAAGTTCCGTGTCACTAACGCCTGTCAAAGTTCAAATTTTTTTTTATCGCTTCACTTTTGTCTGCGAAAAATTTCATAATCTCAAAAATCTTGAGTTACATAAAAACAAAATTTAAACTTATCTTGTCCTATATTGTGACTTTAAATAAAACCTTAAGTCATAATTTCAGGATTTCCATAATAGAGGTTTTCGTTCACAAACAAGTGCATCTGGGGACGGACTTGAATTATTAATACTGTGTTCTCAACTTCCTCTATCTGGAGGTTATAACGAAACCTCTCAGTAGCTGCATATACAATTACATTTGTTTTTTACATTTATTAAAAATAACCTTTTTATAATTTCACATTGTACATTTTAAATTCATTCCATGTTATATGTCTCTCAACTTTACTGAGGTCTACGCTGTGGGCTAAGGTGTTTGTACTTCAAAAATCGAATAGGGGGCAAACGAGCAGACGGGTAACCTGATGGAAAGCTACTACCGCCGCCCATGATCGCCTGCAACTCAGGAGTCACAAGCGTGTTGCCAGCCTTTGAGGAAGGAGTACGCTCTTTTCTTGAAGGTTTGAAGGTCTTGAAAAATGATATTATAAACGTATTTGTAGGCAAAGTATTTATGATAATCTTATCATATAACCGTTAATCAACATCGGTAATGAAACTTTCGAGTTCTTTTACGTGTGCAAAGCAAAACTTCAATATTTTTTTTAATCTTACCAAATATTAATTATTGACAAGTGTAAAAGAACAGACTCGTTCAACTACCCATACATAAGTACATAACATGTATATGTAGGTACGTAAAAGAAATAAAAACCGATCAAACAATACGTAACATGACAAGGCTCAATGCTTTTAAATGACTTATTCAGCAGTTTTGAGAAATGATCACGGACGCCCTTAATTGCAAAAAACAAGTTGAACGCATACCCAATTGTTTCTCGCTTGTCAGGATATAACCCAACATCTTTTATTTTACCGCGATACAAAAGATCGGACCACTTTCTCAAAGAAAGGGCTCACGCGAACCAGTTCAGTGAAAAATATAAATTAACGGGACCTAATTAAATTTCATTTTTTACTATGTACCAATTTATTATTAGTAAGATTTATACTAAAGCGAAATTCAGTATTGGAAAAAATATCATTAGAAGTTTTTCTATGGTTATAATATCCGTTTGGATTCATCAATTGATTGAATTTCGACCAGAAACATAGATACCTGTTATTTAAATTTAGTTTTAAAATATACCTTTGCATATTGTTAAAAGCATCAGTTTTCTATAAATATCAAAGGAATCTTAAGAGTATTTTCACACATTAATTTCTAAACAGTTTTTTCTTACATACAGATTTGATTCTATTTAAACTTAAAATAACAGCAGGTTCGACATTAGACATTTATCGTTGCACGTTAAGGTCCGGTTTCGGTTGGTATTGGGAACTAACTGATTACTTTCTTACTTCATACAAACGATAGGATTGTATTACTTGTAATTACTCTGCAGAATTGTGTTGGCAGTATAAGTTAAATATTCACAGCTAGGTATAGGTAAAACTTCAAATAAAAGAGCTCGTGCCAGGGAGTGTTCTTAAACCTAAAAGAACGGATTACCAGAACGGGAAATAGATAGAAAGAAAGCTATGAAAGCATAATAAAGTTGAAGGAGGATTGAGGAGAAGTTGAGAAATATAAGGTAATAGTTATATGTAATGGTTGTAATGGTTGATGACAAATCTGTGCATTAATACGTGTCACTATAAAAAAGACTATTAATCGATTGCAAATGACGGCCGGCCAGTCTCGTAATAGATGAATTTTTTTATTTAAATATATTATATGATTATGGTGTGGTGTGTAGACGGAATAAGAATACAGAGTGTCACCACCCGTGTTCATCCCGTGGGTGTCCTAAGAGTCCACTAAGGGAGCAAACTACGCAGGACCACAGCACCGCAAAGAAAAGGAAAACTTGACAGAAACTCTATTTTTATTTCTTTAAAAATGCAAAAAAGTAATAAAACAATGAATAATATTGTATTACTATGCTGTCATGCTATCGTACTTGTGCTATAGCTGAGAGAAAAAAACTAGAACATGTGGTATACTTTTTTACAACTCTGTTCATTTAAGGTAGTGAAATAGACTAGATGTTTTGGACAAATTAAGGCATTTTACCTGAGAGAATAACACGCATGACTCCCACAAAGTAGGCACTCCGCACTATATATTTTTTAAGCTCGATATAAGATACAAAAATCATTTTTCATTATAGGTCTTTAAGATAAACTACCACGGGAGGTATTTGTGATTGATTGTGCACCAAAATGCAATTGTATTCGTACAAAACCTTTGCAAATAAATATAAAAGCTGTATCGATCAGCCTCATTCGTGTCATACGATTCAGTGGAACATGTTTTATTTTCCTGTTCAATGAGAATGCCACTTATGATTTATTACGCGTATATATTTTTGTACTTGTAACCCCAAAGGAATTAAACTAGATCACTTTTTCGAGAACAACCATATAATAAACACATGAACAGATGAAAAATATTTTGTTTTATCTTTTTTTTCCGAGTTTGTCGTACCTGCGTACGTCAAATGGGCCAGCTTTACCAGAGTAATGTCAATTGTCACGGTCTGACAAAAAACTGATGTAAAGCATTGTTTTCTTTTCTATTCCCTAAAAGGAGGCCTAAGCTTGTAATCAGCTACTTAGTGGGGGGAGGGAGCTACGCACTAAAAAAACAAAACTTCCAAAGAAAGAAATTGCCGGTACTAAAAGGTAAAAACAATGCACTTACACGTAACCATATTAGAAGGGGGCCGTAGTTAAACTAGGGTGAACTAATAGACCAATTCACTACCGCTGGGTGCACCGGCTACAACACTATTAGATTATTCCGATTCACGGTGCACTGGCTGCGTTAATTTAGTATTTATACACGATTTTTGGGGAAATTTTAGTTTTGATTTGTGTTAAAATGTGTTGGTAAATTATGTTGGTTTGTTTAATTGCTGTAATATTAGGAAGTAGGCAGTTGAAGAAAATTATAAATTTAGCATTTTCAAAAATATTAATAATATAAAATATTTTGCTACGTTGAGTTTTTAATAAGAAAGCATTCAATGCATTTTAAATCTACTCTTGTAATAAATACTGTAGTTAATTAATTATAATATATTATAATATATAATTACTGTAGTAAGTTAATTTACCTACTAATTAAGTAATAAATTAGACAAATTTAGATCTGAGTGTTTTGAATTTAAAGCTTTTGCATATCAGGTCATATCGAAATCTCTCAGGTCTATTTTTAGATACATTAGCTCTAAATATAAATTTGAAAATGACTCTCTACTAAACTCAGCGTGTGAATTTTCTGATTGTACTTCAGTAAATTTTAACCAAAATACAACTTTGTAGTCCAGCAAAACAAATAACAACAAAAACTATAGTAAATCACTTTCTTGTAAAAAATCGAAAATAAGATTTTTACAGCTTCTTCTAATTCTTGATTTCCTCAGTTATGAAGTTTACAAAATTTTACCGCCATTATAAATGTTGATCACAACAAAAGTTTTGTTTATAACCAAACAAAAGGCGGAGAGGTGTGTTGAAAATCTCAAGGGTTGCGTCAAGGGGTGACGTAATTAAAGTGGATGCCGGGGGACCCAAGGAGAGTGAATTTTGACACTATACAGCGGAAATGTTTTGATATTTCCATTAAAGACTTTGTGTTAGAAATATGTTTACTTTTTCCCTACATGTACATGTGAGTGATAT